TATGAAGAAAAGCAAATATTCCTTTTGGGGCAGTGCTGTGTACAATAAGCAGAAATTGTATAAACAATAAAATAACAGCATTGACTTTTTTGTTTAGGGGAATTCATGGATTCTGGAAACTATCCACCTTCAAGATCGCCATCCTCCTGTTCTACAGTTTCAGAGTTATCCATCCAGGATAGTGCTTCATTAGCATCATCATCATCAGACATTCACAGCCACATATCACCTAAAAGAAAGAAAAAAACCCTTCCCTCCTGGAACCACCATAGATAAATTTGTGATAAAAACTAGATTAGAAAAAGAGTTAATTGATGAAAAAGTTGCCCAGTTTGTTTATGCAACGAACTCTTCTTTCCACCTGACTGAGAACCCACATTTCATTAATATGGTTCAGTCACTGAGACCAGGATACAGTCCACCCAGCAGAGCAGATGTTGCAGGGAAGTTGCTGGATAAAGTGTATGACAGAGAAATGGAGCAATGTGCAACAGCTCTGGAGGGTAGAATTGTTAACCTAAGTATTGATGGGTGGAGTAATGTCCACAATGATCCTATTGTATGTGCTTGTATAACAACAGAAGAAGTGAAAGTCTTCCTTGCACAAACAATTGATACATCAGGAAATGCACACACAGCAGAATACTTACAAGAAGTGGCAGTAAAAGCTATAATAACATGTGAACAAAAATTCAAATGTTTAGTATGCAGTTTGGTCACAGACAATGCGGCAAATGTATCCAAGATGAGAAGAAATTTAGAAGAGCAGGAAGGGAATACAAAGCTAATAACATATGGTTGCAGTGCTCATTTGCTGCACCTCTTAGCCAAAGACTTAAGTGTTCCAGAAATAAAGACTAATGTTGTTGAAATTGCTAAATACTTCCATAACAATCATTTTGCTGCAGCAACTCTGAAAAGGATGGGTGGAACCAAGCTAACGCTCCCACAAGATGTTAGATGGAACTCTGTGGTGGACTGTTTTGAGCAGTATATCAAGAACTGGCCTATTCTGATGACAGTTTGTGAAGAAAATCGAGATAAAATAGATGGCACTGTCACGGCCAAAATCCTCAACATTGGGCTTAAGAGAAATGTTGAACATATGCTGAGCATCCTGAAACCCATCTCTGAAGCTTTAAACAAAATACAGAAAAATAGCTGTTTTATTGCTGATGCTGTTGAAATTTGGAAGGAACTGAGTGAACACTTAAAAACAGAACTACACATGGGCAGAATTAAATTACAAGCATTAAAAAAATGAATGGGACAAGTACTGTCTCCAGCTCATTTTTTGACAAATATTGTCAATATCCAGTATCAGGGTCAAAACTTAAGTGCTGAGGAAGAGGAGTTAGCTATGACATGGGTATCCAGCAATCATCCATCTGTAATGCCAACTATAATAAACTTCAAAGCTAAGGGAGAACCATTCAAGAAATATATGTTTGCTGAAAATATTTTAAAGAAAGTCACACCAGTGAACTGGTGGAAGTCACTTAAGCACTTGGATTTAGAGACTGTTCAAGTAATGATTTCACTTTTAACAGCAGTAGCTTCTTCTGCAGGCATTGAAAGAATATTCTCTTCCTTTGGACTCATTCATTCTAAATTGAGAAATCGTTTGGGACCTGATAAAGCAGGAAAGCTTGTTTTTCTTTTCCAGATTATGAACAAAGAAGAAGATGAAGATGACGAGTGAGCTACAGAGGACAGTATTTAAGTTTTTCATGTGTAGGCTGGGCTGACAGTCTAAGTTTCTTAAAATATATATATATTGTTTAGCCAAATTAGTTAACAAACATGGATGTTTGTTTAAGCAAATAACATATGCTGTAATGTTATTGTTTCAGTTGAATAAATCTATTTAAATTGTTATTATTAAGGTAATGATTATTTTTCTCCTTCCTAAGTACAACAGAAAAGTTGTCCAAATATGAATGATTAACCTATTAAACTGGGGATAAAAAAACTAATATGAAAAGTTGTTATTCTAAAAATCTTCATCTACTTGCATATTAAAGTTATACCAGCAAGAATTAGTCTTTATGTAGAAAACTATAATTTAAATCAAGCCTTACTGACTAGTGATTTAAATCGTGATTTAAATCATGATTTAAATCAGTTTGATTTAAATCAAATCCACCCTGATATTTTCTGATGAATTTTTAAACAATTTTTAATGTTTTTAAGCTGGTATGTGGGTTTTTTTTTTGATTTGATTTATATACCGCCCTTCTCCGGAGACTCAGGGCGGCTTACAATGCGTTAAGCAATTAAATGTGTTGTCCTTCTAGTTACCGCTATTTTGTCATGATTAGAAATATTTGGCAATGTTGCTCTGAAAATCTGGACTGTAGAGGGGGATATAGGAAAACTGTTATAAATAATGAACATAATACAACTCTATGCCATCTGGATATCACTATTGTCAAATATTCTGCCATCGAAGTTTTAGATCAACTTGAACTATCACTTGGAAGCTAGAACTGTGAATTGCATTCTTCATGATTCTAAAAAAAATTCAAAGTGGGTGTGCCTTATGTTGTCTGTGCTCAGACACACTGATTGTGGTCTTTATTATTTTTTTCCTACTGCAAATCATCTTAGTGTTTTCACAGTTCCTGTTAGACCCTTAAAATGCCTTGGAAGCATTCTTTGGTCCAGGAGACAATTTACATGATATCAGGATGGGTTTAACTCAGTTTCCTATATGCAATAGGGGGAAAAGATTGGACAATCTGTCACTGCATAAATTAAACAAACTGTAAAGCTGTTTGAAGAACAAGTAAACTAATTTCCTGATCAAGATAGCTAATATTTTGTAAAGAGACAAAAAAAGAACTATTAATGGCCTGGTAGATGTATTCTATCCCAAAGGCTTCTAATATATTTCAAAATACTGTTTTTCTACTTCATTATAGCAAAATAAAGTATTCTTTAACAGCATTTGGAAAATATTATTTTAAGAAATATTTGAACAACCATGTCTCTTTCAGATAATATTTGTCTGTGATACGCAATATATTTATAAAAGCTAGCATTTGCTGGAAGTCTTATTTTATATATCTTAACTTTGGCAACAGCCTGGATAAATTCATTAAGGGCTTAACGATGCTTCAAGTTACCAATTCTTTTTCTGTGCTATAAATGAACTATTCTAAAAATTGATGAGAAAATTAAGAATAAAATATAGTGAATTTGCCTCTTATCTTTTGAGAAATGGAAATTTCGGGATTCAAAGCTAGTTCACAGCAACAAAAAAGAAATCAGTTGATTAATTAATCAATAAAGTTCTTAAAAGTTTATCATGATAGCCAAGACAGTGTCAAATTACGATCCCTTTCTGTATGTTGGTTTTCCGGGTTTTTTTTTCTTACCTGTAATTGAAATGTACAATCCAGTTTCTATTAAGTTATTTACTAAAAGAAATCTACATAACTGCATATTTTATCTGCTTTGGCCTCCTTTGTCTCCCCCTCTCTCTTTCCATACACAGCAGTAGCTGTGAAAATACCCTCAGATGCACCCTTGAAAACAAAACCAAATTACAAAATCAGATTTGAAAATATTCAATATTCACAGTGCTCTTGCTCAGTTGTTAATAATACATCAATGAACATTATTTGCCACAAAATGTTTAATAACAGGATTTATTTATTTAAAGCAGTTTTCCAGGATGTTTGCTCTTATTTTGTCTTTCTTTCTTTCTTTCTTTCTTTCTTTCTTTCTTTCTTTCTTTCTTTCTTTCTTTCTTTCTTTCTTTCTTTCTTTCTTTCTCTCTCTCTCTCTCTTTCTTTCTTTCCTTGTTTCCTTCCTTCCTTCCGTATAAAAAGCATTCCCTTCCCTCTAAAGAACTATGGTTCAAGGTTTCTGTTTAAAATTGGCCTTCTGCACATATAGGTAGTGCTCAACTTACAACCATTTATTTAGTGACAAAAGTTACAACAGCACTGAAAAAAGTGACATGGCTGTTTTTCACACATCACACAAGTGTTACAGCATCATCATGGACATGTGATCAAAATTTGGGCACTTGGCAACTGGCACGATAGTTGCACTGTCCCACGGTCATATGATCATCTCTGCCAAGCAGTGATTCACTTAATTGTGGCAAGAAAGGTCATAAAACAGAGCAAAATTCACTTAATTCTCTTGCTTAGCAACAAAAAAGGTTGGGCTTCATTCAAGCCTTAGTCTTTCTTTTCCTCAGCAGAAGGAGGCTTGAATTCCTCCTGGCAAGGAAGAAAGGAGGGAGGGAGGGAGGGAGAGAGAGGGGAAGAGAAAGAAAGGAAGGAAGGAAGGAAGGAAGGAAGAAAAGAAAGAAAGAAAGAAAGAAAGAAAGAAAGAAAGAAAGAAAGAAAGAAAGAAAGAAAGAAAGAAAGAAAGACGGGCCAAAATAAGGCAATTTAGATGGGAAAATGGGTAAAAAATTTCAATATATATTACATATATTAACTGCAACCAGAATCGTTTTTGCTCAGAATTGGAAACAGACTAATATTCCTTCAGAGGCAATGATAATAAGAAAGATACTTGAGTGTGCAGAGATGGATAGGTTGACTATGGAATTGAAAGAGAAAGAAGAATTGGAGTACTATCAAGTTTGGAGTAGATGGTATACATGGCTAGAAAATAGGAGTTAAATTATTGTTTAAGAATTATATAATATTGATGACAATATGATTATATCATATTTCTGTGTAAATATTAGTATAATTGAAATGACTGTATAATATAGGATAGTGAACCATAGAAATAGAACCTATGTAAATATGAATGTTATGGATGATATTGATATGGAAATGCTGTAATGAGTGAAAATTTGTGTTTTGTTTTTTAATGTTGAAAATGTTTAATAAAAATTATTGGAAGGAAGAAAGAAAGAAAGAAAGAAAGAAAGAAAGAAAGAAAGAAAGAAAGGAGGAGGGCCAAAATAAGAGCAAACATCCTGGAAATTGCCCTTCCTGCCCCATAAAGAGCCACCCACAGGTCAACCCACGTGGCAGCCAGGAGGGAGGCAATCCAGACTGCCCAGCAAATGAGGCGTGGAGGCTGCCTCGGGTTTTTCTGCACCGGGCGTAGAAGACAGGTGAGCGCTGCGACCCCCTAATTTGGATGGTTCGGGGCGGCGACATTGCAGGTGGGAGCGGGTCAAGCAAAGGGGCGGCGAGGGAAAACCGCCTTTCGTGCCCGTCTGAAGAGGGTGGGATGCCGGCGTGTTAAAGGGGCAAGAGCGGGAAAGACTCAAGCAAAGCTTCGGAAGAGGCGGGAGGCGCGTTTCCCTCATTTCGAAAAAGGTTCCGAATGGCTCCGTCTGAAACGGGAGGGGAGGGAAGCTCGGCAACCGGGACAGGTGGCTCCCGGATCCAGGAAACCGCAGCCGCCGACGTCGCAGCGTGGGTTGGGTCTCTTTCTTGGCAGGCTGCCTCGTCACGGATAGGAGCCGAGCCTACATTTGGAAGCCGGAGTTTCTCAACCATGGCAGCTTGAAGATGTGTGGACTTCAACTCCCAGAATTCCCCAGCATAGCACAGCTAGCTTGGGGAATTCTGGGAGTTGAAGTCCACACATCTTCAAGTTGCCAAGGTTGACAAATAGTGCAGTTTAAGCAGTTGAATGGTGCAATAACCATGTCTCAGGAAGATTTTATTAAATATTTTATTATTTAAGTGCCTTAAAACGAACAATGGTGCAGGCAGCCCTGTAAGCTGAGAATGTGAGGTCTGTAGGATTTTTTGAGGGGAAGAGTGTATTGTGAATGTAGTGAGTAGAACATAATTGCCTTTTGTGCACACACTGTGTCTATAACAAACTTGACCATTCATCTGTGTGAATGCTTTTTGCATATGATCACATAATACAAGCAAATACAGCACATAAGACTTAGGAATTTTTTTTAGCAGTTTTAACTTCTTTTTTTTGGCAACTTTATTGGACAGGGTCCCCAGATTCTATAACCAGGACCAAGCTCTGATCCGTACAAGCACTGATCTGTCAGGCTCAGTATTGCCTACAGGGATCATCTCTCCAGATGTTCTTAAAGTTTGACTTTTTTCTATTCCCTTGTGCTTGCATTATGTTGAATTCCAATACCGCATGGTAACTCCCTCCCAAGGTTCCTGTAATTTCTATAATTTCATTTCTGTTACTGAGAATTTTGTTAGCGATAAGTCCAGTATGGCTGACCCTCTCGTTGCCTTCGTTGTCTTTTGGGAGAGAAAGTTGTCTGCTAGGTTTGTCAAGAATCTGTTTGATCCTCCACTAGATTCAGAATTTGTTTCCCAGTTGATGTCAAGGTAGTTAAAGTCCCCCATTATTATTGTGGTGTGCTTCCCGAAAGCATCTTGGAGTTCAAATCAGAAAAGCCACCAATTATTGTATCTTGTTCTAAGGCCATTCTATTTTACCACTATATGATGTGAAACTATTTTCACATTGGAGATTGGCTAGTTTTTTTCATTAATTAATTTAATTCAGCTTTTATATTACCTGAACTTTTTACTGCACAAGTGGTCTTTAAAGTACATGTTTCTAGAATTGCAAATTTTGGATCCAGTTGCTTGTTTAATATAAATTAAATATTGACAACCTGGCTATCTCTGATACAGCTATCATATTCAAACTGTGCAAAAATCCGTTAGACCATTAGATAGCAGCAGAGAGATACATCTTTCAGGCCAGGTGATAGGCCTAACATCGGGTAATAAATAGGCATACTATTTTTGGTCATGCCTAAACAATAGACCTAATAACTATATAGACCAGACTGATAAAGTGGCCTATGATAAAGTGGCCTATACTGCTTCTCAGAAGTAGAAAAGCAGGAGAGAAACCAAGACAGACCTAATCTCACTAAGCTACCATCTTTGTAAATAGGACAGAGAAATTAATATAAAGTCCATTGTGGACAAGGTCCTTGAATGGTCTCTTAAAGAGCACATTTTATGAACACTTGTAGAATAATGCAACAATTAACAAGAGCCTGCAAGGATTTTGCATAAACAGTCATGCCACGTTAACCTTATTTTCATTTCTGATTGACATATTATTTTATTAGATTGGGGAAAGTGCTGTGGACAAAGCATATCTTGATCCCATCAAAGCATTTGACATTAATAAAATGGTCCCAAAGATAGAACTGTAACAGATTCATAATTGGCTGAATGATTGCACTCAGAAATACAAATGGCTTGACATTGGAAAGTTCTACTGTGTTGAATGAAACAGGACTCAGCCCTGGGCTCTGTGCTATTCAACGATTTATTAATAACCTGGTTGAAGCAGTTGAGTAAATGATTACCAAATATGCAGCTGATATAAAACTAGACGTGGCCGATGCTTTAGAAGAGAAGGAGAAGATTTTAAAAATTCTAGACAGGTTTGAACACTGGGCTGAAGCAAACAGGATTAAATTTAACACAGATAAATATAAAATCTTGCATGTGATGAGAAAAAAAGGTGCAGTACAGATTGGGGGGGGGAGAAGATCTGGCTTGGCACAGTAATGAATAAATGTTCTAGGAGATCACATGGTAAGCATGAACCCAGCAGTGTGATGCACTTGCTTTTTTAGGAGGTATTAATGGAAACAGAATTCAGATCACAAGAAGTTATTATGCCACTATGCTTTGCCTTGATCAGACCCTTGTGTTTAATTCAGTGTATTGTAGCTCAAAAAGGACAGCGTCAAGCAGGTGAGTTCTGAGGAGGGCTGCAGGGTGGTGAGAGGGTGAGAAACCAAGTTATTTTAATGATAGTTAAAGAGATAGGTATGTTTAATATGCAAACACAGGAATTGCTTTAACATCCTGAATCTCTTTGACAGACAAACAGAGAAGCTATGGAACAAACTTTAAAAAGTTATTAAGGATGAATATAAAAACAGACTGCCAAAATGAATGTCCAGCCTCTCATTCCCCATCAGTTGTTCAAAGCAATCTGGTCTTTACCAGCTAGTAGTTCGCTCTGGGACTTTAGTGGAGCACTATAATAAAGCTAAATGCAGATGTGTATATTTTTTTATTTGTATATATGAATGGGACAGCAAAGATAAATTATCCCATATACATAAAATCGGGAAAAGATAAACCAAATAATACAAGATTGAAGTTACAGTAACAGCTGTTTGATCACAGAAAACAAGTTTTAATACAGCTATATAAAACTATTGTCTGATGAAGTCCTGAGGAAAAAGGAACCTTATGTAAAAGAGAACTTTTGTAAATATATCAACAATTCAATGAGAGCGCCACAGATATTTTGAAAGATTTCCAAAAGTTTATTGATAATAAGTAAAGACACGGTCAAATTCAGTTGAATACACACTCGTTTCAGAGGAAGGCTCACTGCATATCAAGTAACCCATACTGCTTCAGTACACAGAACCAGCCATTTATAACTTACTTGTAAACCATTATTAGCTGTAGCTCCTTTATTTATTTATATGATTTATAGAGCCACCCATCTCACACAAGTGATTTAGGGTAGTTTACAAAACAGAAAATCCACCACACAGTATAGCTTAATCTAGTGTAATATGTGAACCAGCTCTGAGTTTTATAGGATTTTTACATAATATATGGAGTCAGGCAGCTAGTCTTTCTGAAAAAATCTTGTTTCAGACTAAATTCATATGGACTTCATGTGCATAACCTGTTAAAGAAAGGCTTGGCATCAGAAGACTCTGGCTCACAGACAGTTCTTGCTCCAAGATCAAAAGCCCTTTGCAAGCAATCATGTTACACCTTTAATAACTGTCTATCTGTTCCCTGACAGCTAGGAACAGATGGGGAGAGAAAGAAAAAGAAGTCAGATATTAAAGTGAATGTTAAAGGAGAATTAGTTGCATCCATCACTTTGGGCTTCTCAGCCATCCTTTGAAAATTGGTATCAGTTTTCACATTTTTCAGAATACTAGAATAATTGCTTTCTGTACATGCATTTCTCTTCATATGTTACTAGACTTTTTTTCTGAATGCCACATCATTATATTAAACAAATCCCTTGGGAACATAAAGCATTCCAATGGACGTGCCTAGAAATATTCAATTTATTTTTGGTTTTTCTTGGAACCATTTCACCACGAAAAATGAATGTTGGAAACGGTGGAGCGTTTGCAAAATAAAATTTCTACTTGCAGCTTTCTGATGGATTCTTTTTAAAAGCAGCCTGACATTTTACTTTCCTTACTGATTTGCATAAAAATTTTTCCTTTTGTGTTGTAAGTTCATCGCTCCCTGCTGCTCTCTTCCCTGTGTGAAGCCACAGTAACACTGAAAAAACAGCAAGGGTGGTGGTGGCTGGCAAAGATTCTTTCTTTCCACTGGAGGGGAATAAGCACTGGGAAATCAATGAACCTTAACTGCTTCAATTTGGCTTCATGGGAAGTTTGCACAGAGTGCAGGAATACCTTAACAATATGTGAGAAGAGCCTGAACTCAGCCAATATGATTTGTGAGCCCAGTTACCCAACACAGTTTACTGCACTACATAAACTCAGTGGGCAATATGTAGGAAAGAGCTATAAGACAGAAAGGATGAGGAGAAATATTGCCCCAGTGAGAAGGCAAGAGGGCAAGATTTGAGCTTCAAGTTGATGATCAGGTTGTTGCTGAACTAGAGGGATGATCAACTCCAGATAGCCTGGAGAGGGATACTGGCAGTATTAGTTAATATCTGGAAATCATAAACTCCTTTTCCATGTGTAAGAAAAGAGTAAATGAAATAATTGCTCTTCTACTATAACTATGTGCTCAACAAAGTCTGTCCATCTTCTTTCCTAAAACTAAGAATGTTCAATTTGCATTCCTTCCATCTGCTAACTGATGGGCAATGTTTTTTTTTCTTTTTTCTTTTCTTTTTTTAATGATAAAAACTTAACAGCTTTTATTGATACATGTAACAATCATTTAACATCAGCAGTAGTAACTTCAACTTCCACCCCAGGCTCAATGCTGATAGAAGTTATCTGTTTGACAATCTCTGAAGGACTGTGTAAATCAATGAGGTGCTTATGTATATGCATTTGGAAACGATCCCAAGTTTTGGAATCTTCACCACATGGTGTTTTTCTCGTAGTGATTCGCAGAGTCTTAATAGGCATGCGAACAGGCCCTTTCACTTAAATTTTTTTCTTTAGCACCTCTGATGAGATCTGCACAAACTGTAAAAAAGCAAGAATTCTAACATTTTCAAGCGACTTCACATTGCGACTTGTCAAAGTAATTCTGATTCGATGAATTGCTACTTCTTGTTCCACAGGGGCCTTCCCAGTATCTTTAAATGCCATAGTTGCCGCGAAGCCTTCCTGACTGACTTAATCCCGGCCTAAGTGAACACCAGAGGCCCAGGGAACAGCGGTGAGTCAGGAAACAAAGAAGGAACCTTAGCACAGACAACCCTGTGTTTTTTTTAAATCACTCTCTTTTGGGTGTCTTCGCATGTAGCAGCTTCTAGCTGACTTTCTGTGGGGTTGGAAGCTAAGTAGGGCTTGATCTGATTAATTCTTGCATAGATCAATTCCCTGGTCTCCCATAGGGAATTCAGAGCTATTGACAAGACTGGGAAGTTGAAAAACATCCTGGAAAAAGTGCATATAGCCACACTGCTGCCAAGAATACTTCATAGCTATCAAGCTTGACTTGAAGATATATTTATTTTTCATGCCGGTGCATTGCAAGGCATTAGGGAAGTAAGTCAGCACAGCGCGGAGAAGTAAAACCAGATCTAGCATTCAGATAGGTGCATAAGCCTTAATATTAATGTCTTCTTCAGGCTATCATACAGTGCAAACAATTTATACCATGCTATTTTTATTCCAGTTTTATTCCTCCACTTCAGTGAAACCTGGTTGTGTCAATATGTGTTGAGGTGACTGTGTTTCTGCCAAGCCTGGCTGCCATAAAGCCATGAAATATCTGCTGGGCACATCTTACTCCTACAGGGATTCATTTGGGCATGATAGTTGACCTGGAGAATTCCCTGCAGTGGCTTGTCTTTGTCATGGCAGAACCATCCAATGTGAAAAGCAGAACATTTCTGTCCCAAGTCAGGACCAGCATGAGAAGTGATGGGCATGTGCAAGAACTTTTTCTTGAAGAAGCCAAACAGGTATGTTAAGAAGGCTTATATTTTGTTTATCAACCTAGTTCTGTCTTCTGAGACCTTGCAGGACGAAGGGCATAATGGAATACAGCTAGACCTCAACATACGAGAGCCAGTTCATTATGGTCTTTTGCATAAAATGTGTCGGTCATGCGACTGGCTTGATTTTACGATGTTTTTCCACTGGTTGTTAAGTGAACACTACGATTGTTGAGTGAACATCGCAGTCGTAAGTGCAAATCCATTGTTCACTAAGAGGACACAATTTGCCGTGAACCCAGAACGGGCAGTTTTCAGCAAAACCATTGCAAAATGCAGTCATGTGACTGCACAATGCTGCAAACAGCCATGAATGTGTTTGTATTGCCAAGCTTCTGAAAAACAGTCGCGTGACTGTGACTGTCAGAACTTCATATATGAGTCATTAAGTCCCCTTTTTCAAATAGGTTGTAATTTTGACTGTTTGCTAAATGACTGGCCATTAAGACAAGTTCCTCTGTGATTCCAAACTATAAAGATTTTCTCCCCTATTTCTCATATCAATTTTTTTTTATAAACTATGAAATTGGCTCATACTGATTTCTAACTTTTTACAAAATAATTAAATCATCAATGTAATAAAAAGCTTTGATATGCATGTTCCGGTACAAGGTTGGATGGATTTTTCTACTGCTTTGCTGCCATATTTAGGAAGCTGATAAATTAAAGGGTTTTTTTTCCTCCTCAGGGTTATCAGACGCCTAACAAACCTTGGTGGAAAATACAACTTTTTGTTTGGGAACCAGTGCTTTTTGGAACATGGGATGGAGTTTTTACTTCCTGTATGATTAACATCTTTGGAGTAGTTCTCTTTCTACGGACAGGCTGGCTGGTTGTAAGTATACGGGATTAAGCAATAACTCATAGAGGTTATTACACTGTGTGGTTTCATTTTTGCTGATCTTTTAAAAACAATGCATGCACTTGTCCTTGACTTACAGCCATTCATTTAGCGATCATTTGAAGTTACAACACACTGGAAACAGCGACTTAACGAGCAGTCCTTGCACTTATAACTTGTTGGACCCATAGTCACGTGATTAAAATTCAGGGGCTTGGAAATTGGTATGCATTGACGCTGATTGCAGCACCCTACGGTTTCATGATCACCATTTGCAACCTTCCTAACTGGCTTCTAACAAGGGAAGCCAATAGGAATAGCCATGTTTGCTTAATGACCATATGATTCACTTAACAACTGAGTGATTCACTTAAAAAACACAGCAAAAAAAAAGGTCATAAAATTGGGGGGGGGCTGGCTTGGCGGTAGACATTTTGAACCTAATTGTGGTCGTAAAGGGGAGAACAACTTGTATAAAAATAGCTTCCCTTAAAAAAAAAAAAAAAACAAATTCCAGAAACAAGGGGTGTCTTTTCAAGTAAAGGGTTTTTCTCAGACTTTTTTTAAAAAAAGCATCAAATGCATGTTGCTCTGCAGAACTATTACCAGCTGCTCCATCTGCAGTTATTGTTAGCTTTTTAAACAGCTTGTTAACCAATGCATAATGAAGACGAGAGATATATCATTAGAATACTGGCAAACAGCTCATCCTACAACCAAATTAAGAATGCAACGGGAAAGACTGTTAAAGCAATGAACTGTGTGATTAACATTTTTCCTTACCGCGTTTGCCTGTAGAATTAGATAATTATAGATCAGTGCGCTGTGAGCATCAAGGTTTTACCTTGATGTGTCCCATCCCGTCCCATTCCCCCCACCCCCCCAAGAATCCCAGATACGGCTTTTATTATATTTACTTAATCTTTGGTCTGTAACCTTAAACACTCAGAGTCATTTGGACTTGTTTCTCACAGAAAAGAAAACACCGGGAGCCACAAAACCTGGGTGGGCGTGGCCTACTTGACATCACTCATTTCCACCAATCACATGACACCCCCCCCCCCAGACATGCCTACCCAGCCAGTCATTAGGGCAGAGAACCAGTTGTTAAAAAACACCGGGAACCACAAAACCCTTTTGACATCACTCCCTCCCTCCATCCCCCCTCTCTCCCTCTCTCCCCACCTCTCTCTCTGTATCTCTTTCTGTCTTTCTCTTTCCCCCTCTCTCTGTATCTGCCCCAGCCACTTCTCCATCACCTGCTGTCGCCCTTACCTTCCCAGGCCAGGCGAGGAGGGGAGAGAGAGGGGTGGGGCCAGCCAGTGGTGGGATCACCCGAAGGGAGCCACAGCAGAGGGCCCAAAGAGCCACATGCGGCTCCGGAGCCACAGGTTGCTGACACCTGGGTTGGACTATGACTGTGATGGTGAACCTATGGCATGCGTGCTAGACATGGCACACAGAGCCCTCTCTATGGGCATGTGTGCAGTCACCCCAGCCACCCCTGAAATGCTCCAGTTGCATTTCTCTATCGCGTTTCACTCAATCAATTCCAACTTCTCGTGAAAGAAAAGATCTCGCGAAGTTGGAATTGATTGAGTGAACTTTTTCACTCTTGCGCTTCACAATGGGGGAGGGAAAGAGAGAGAGAGAGAGAGAGAGAGAGAAAGAGAGACATAGAGAGAGATAGAGAGGGAGGGAGGGAAAGAGAGGGAGGGAAACAGAGAGGGGGAAAGAGAGGGGGAGGGAAAGAGAAATGATATTACAAAAGTTTTTCTTTTTTATTATTGCTAAACGTAATATTTCAAAAGCAGAAAAAATGAAGGAGCATAAAACGTGCATTTATCACATTTTTCTTAGAACAATTAGCTGAACTCTGCGTTGTTTATCATTATTTTAGGTAGTAAAACCTCATTATTCAGGTTAAATTGCCATGTTGGCACTTTGCGATAAATAAGTGGGTTTTGGGTTGCAGTTTGGGCACTCGGTCTCTAAAAGGTTCGCCATCACTGGACTATGCTGTGATATAATGTGAATGTCAAGGATTTATATGTTGGAGTAACTGGAGTAACCGCTTGTCAGCAAGATGCATGGAATACCGTTTTGATATACTTCGCACGTAATGAATTGTGCTCATTATGTTAAAGCCAAGAATGGTATGCGCTGACTTAACTGCAACAGCATTTCATGGGTTGAAAATGGCAAAACCCTATTGTCCCTGAACACCCCAGCCCTGATATTACCAAATGTTGAATTCATTTGGTAGTGACAACTTGCTAAATTCTCAATATTTAGGTTGATACTTCTGCAGAATATATTTCAACCACTGATACAGCTATAATAGTTGTGCGAAACAAAATGGCTTTTGCCTGGTGTTTCGGAAAAGAATTCTTAATGCTACCATTTGAACGACCAACCAACAAGACAACCAATCAGCTGCTCAGAATTTAAATATAGCTCCAAATGGACAACCAACCACATGACTCACTGACCAAACGGACACACAAGACATTTATAAACTAAGGAGAATAGGAGAAGAAAATCCTGCTGATGATATTACATAGTCTGGTAACAAAATGTTCAGAAACTAAATCAAAACAAGATTGGAGAGCCAACAACTGCCAAGATCAATAACCCAATTTGTCTCACCAGGTCTGTATCATCTTATAAAATCATCAGACTTTTCTACAACATCCATCCCTAGCCTTCTTTTAGTTCTTTCTCAGGTTTTCTAAAAAAATAAATCTTGCTGAAATAATTCAAAACTAGTTCAGAATAAGCTGCATAATGTTGCGGCTCCAATATCCATTTACAAAAGTTTATAGATAAAACTGAAATGTCCATTTTGTTCAATATTTAAACACAATTAAAATATGATAAGAGTTTTTATAGCTGTGTTAATATTTTGTTTTCTTCTTTGTTTTTCTATGAATGTAAAAATAGCAATAAAGTGTTTTGGATTAGTTGTAATGAAGCTGATTAAAAATAACTGTTCAGGTGAAACATGTTGCCATAGTGACATATTCTCCCAAACATTAAAGAATTTGGTATCATCTCAGGTAACGGCTGTAAAACAGTAATCCTACTCATTTTTTTAAATATATCAAATATATTTCTTTTGCAACATTTTTCCTGATTTTATTAAATATTTTTGCCAGAATTATTGATACTCATGGGTCACATTCAAAAGTTGAAACATTCATATGAGTTTGATAGGTAGGCCAACCTGTTGAAATTAATGGGTGCAATGCAACCCAGGATAAAGTAGGGTTTGTGTTAATAGAGCACTGTTGCTGATGGTGGTAATTGCATTTCCAAAATTCTACAAATAATGAGCTGCTGTGCAAAATAAATTTAAGGAAATAGATAAACTCAAATAAGGCTCCTATTTCCAAGAACATGTGAGTTTATACCAGGGGTCTGCAACCCGTGGCTCTGGAACCACATGTGGCTCTTTCATCCCTCTGCTGCGGCTCCCTGTCACTCAAAATGTGTGTCACAACCGCCAACTGGCACAACCATCCGCTGGCATGTGGTTTATTGAGCTTTTCAACCCATCTTTTTTTTTTCTGAGTTCAAAATGTTTTATGTTGCATGCAGCAATAAAAATTTGTTTTCTCTGTAGCAATTCATTGATTTCATAAATGCAACTCACTATAGTTTTTTTATACATAGCATAAAGGTAAACAATTATATATGCAGTGTTATCTTCATTTTAGATGTCAAAAGGTTTTTGTGGCTCCCGGTGTTTTCTTTTCTGTGGGAAATGGGTCCAAATGGCTCTTTGAGTGTTTAAGGTTGCCGACCCCTGGTTTTATACATTGGACTCTAAGAAAAGATCACAAATTTTTCACTGTAAATGGCAGAAGCTGAGATGGAGTAGACACACCCTTAGTTGAAATATTTCCAGCTTGGATGGTCTTACTATTTATTTCTACCCTGTGGCTTCCTGTGTTTTCTAAATCCAACTAATTGTGGGTTTTTCCATGAACCATAGTTAAGCAAACATTACTTAGCAAATGCATGGGCCCAATTATATTCTTTCATTGTTATAAAAGTCATTTTTCTGATTTTCTGATAAGCCTCCATGCAACGTTATTACATCTTCTGTTGCTGAATCCCATCTTATTTTTCCTGTATCTTTTTTGCTAACCAATATCTATCCAGAATGCAGCTGCATTCATGAAATTCTATTTCAATTTCTTGCCCTGCTGTGTTTCATGACAGCTGTAGAAGATCAAGGAGAACCGGAGCCAGGACTCAGCATGTTCACATCTGCTGGCATCTAGTCCTTTTATACTCCCTCCCTAAAGGGCTATTTTTGAAAAGGAAAGCATTGTTGCAGCTTGCATCATGTTTTTTTAAAGTTATGTGTACTAGATATATATTTCAAATGGGCAATGAACCTAGAGTGCTACTTAAATATGTTGATGGTATAAGTATAGTCTAATATACTCTGCACAAAGCAACAATTAGCCAAAAAGCTTAAAATCACTTCCCCTTCTGGAGAGCTGCTACAGGAAGGAACACCACGCCCGCTGGATAAGAGCAACACAGAAAGTGCTTTGAAGAAGAGCTGAAGGAAGCAAAAGGCTTGGATTTGTTCACAATAGGAATCTCTAAAGCTGAGAGGAAAAGTTTAAGAGATCACTTTTTTATTTACATGCTGGCAATACTTGGAAGTCCCTCTGAGGATACAAATGTGGAAATATAAGAACACAGGAACTTGTTCCTTTCCTTATCCAAAGATCATGATGTAAAACTCTATCTGTGTGCTGTGCCTAATTTTATAAGTAGATGCCTGTGAAAGATGCAGATGCAGGGAGAAATCTTGTCGTATCTGATTATTTCTGAAAAACTAGGCATATGTTTTGGTCATTAGAATGATTTTCAGGAGAATTAAATGTTGCATGTTAAAAACCCTTCATGCTTAACCTCTCTTCCTTTGCTCAAGAAAGCTAATCTTTATGGATAGTTGCAGCAAAGGACATATTTCTCAATTAGTCTTAAAAGAATCCCTACCACTTTGAACATTCCGGTTCATTATGAAAGTACAATTCAGTACAGGGAGAAGTGGCATGGGATCAGTGCACAAGCTAATCTTAGGAATTAATTCATTGATAATAAACTGTTGTTGTTGTTAGTTGCGAAGTCGTGTCAGACCCATCGCGACCCCATAGACAACATTCCTCCAGGCCTTCCTGTCGTCTACTATCCTCTGGAGTCCATTTAAGTTCACACCTGCTGCTTCAGTGATTCCATCCAGCCATCTTATTCTCTGTCGTTCCCTTCTTCTTTTGCCCTCAATCGTTCCCAGCATTAGGCTCTTCTCCAGTGAGACCTTCCTTCTTATTAGGTGGCCAAAGTATTTGAGTTTCATCTTCAGGATCTGGCCTTCTAAAGAGCAGTCAGGGTTGATTTCCTATAGGACTGACCGGTTTGATCACCTTGCAGTCCAAGGGACTCGCAGGAGTCTTCTCCATCACCATAGTTCAAAGGCCTCAATTCTTTGGCACTCAGCCTTCCTTATGGTCCAACTTTCACAGTCATACATTGCAACTGGGAACCATAGCCTTGACTATACATATTTTTGTTGGCAGGGTGATGTCTCTGCTTTTTAGTATGCTATCTAGATTTGTCATAGTAAATAAACAACAAACAAATAAACTTTATAAATAAATATTTATTTTTAAATAAAAAATAAAATAAACAACAAACAGTAGTCTTTCTGTTTGAATTAACTTCACTTATGAATTATATATCAACCATCTTCCCCCAATGGTTTGCTCCTAGTGTAGTTATTAATTTATACATCATATTCTTTTTTGCTTCAACCCTCCCCTTTCATTTCAGGGGAACACTGGAATTCTAATGGGCATGTTTTTGGTGTCCTTTGTCATCATGGTGGCCTTAGTAACCGTCTTGTCTGGCATTGGGGTTTGTGAACGATGTAGCATTGGAAACGGAGGAGTCTATTCAATGATTTCTACTGTCCTTGGAGGTCAGGTTGGAGGGACCATTGGCCTACTTTATGTTTTTGGTCAGGTAAGAATGCTATTTTCTTATTTTCATATATATATATATATATGTATTAATGTAATCTTCCCCCATTAATTTTTCCCTTTTGCCATGTTCATGGCAATAATAGCCAAACTTTGCAAGTTCTGTTGTGTTAATTGAAAAGATATCTATTCCAAAAAAAGAGAGCACTGGTTTGAAAACTCTGGGTTGTGATGGAAGTTAATCTTGCTTAAATGTGCCTTTCTAAAATACAATTTTTCTTTATTGGAAAACTGAATGCAGTATGAATCAAATGCTACCTGCTCTTTGAAAATTCTGTGATAGCCTGGAAAGTAAAGTGGGGATTTGCATATGATTCTATGCATGGGATGCCTTTTTTTTTAAAAAAAAAATTTGATTTATATGCCGCCCTTCTCTGGAGACTCAGGGTGGCTTACAATGCGTTAAGCAATAGCCTTCATACTTTTGTATATTTATACAAAATCAGCTTATTGCCCCCACAAACTGGGTCCTCATTTAACCTACCTTAGAAAGGATGGAAGGCTGAGTTAACCTTGAGCCTGGTAAGATTTGAACCTGCAGAAATTGCAGGCAGCTGTGTTAATAACAGGGTGCATTAAACCACTGTACTACCAAGGCTCCTTTTAATTTAAGATTATTCTTACTCCAAGCCTTGGACACCAGGTGTTGTTCGAAGAAATATCCTGAAAGAACATTTGAAAAACTTAAAAGTATATCACATTATTTGTTAAATCCCAAAGTTTTCACAAAATGAAATTTAAGTAAATGCAAACATTAAAACTCAAATGAAATGAAGTACTTCCAAATTATGATGTTTAAAAATTAGACTGTATCCAGAGGTGGTATTCAGCAGGTTCTGACCAGTTCTGGAGAACCGGTAGCAGAAATTTTGAGTAGTTTGGAGAAACGATACCACCTCTGACTGGCCCCGCCCCTATCTATTCTCTGCCTCCCAAGTCCCAGCTGATCGGGAGGGAATGGGGATTTTGCAGTAACCTTCCCCTGGAGTGGGGAGGAAATGAAGATTTTACAGTATCCGTCCCCTGCCATGCCCACCAAGCCACACCCACCAAGCCATGCCCACAGAACAGGTAGTAAAAAAAATTGGAATCCCACCACTGACTGTATCCCCATAACTTTTCACCTGAGAATTCTAATTGTTGGTGATCTGCTTAAAAATGGAATCTATTTAGTACAGTGTTATTTAATATATAATATATTGTTTGTGGACATTTTCCTTGGCACTTCCAGCTTCTTTCTACTTTGATTTTTTTTAAAAAATATTCAATTAAAGAAAAATAGGAAGCTAGCATGTTGCAAAATGTCAACCTTCAGTCTAATTTTTATTTACATGAATGCCTCACGTACATTTAATTTTTTAAAAAATAAAAACAGTGAGCAACTATAATTCAATATTCATTCGTAATGTATATCCAGGGCTTAAAGGAGTAATCTGCGGCAGCCCCAAAATCAGATTCTTAGCAAGATTCTTAAGAAGCTACTGAGTATGATGATGAATTCCATGTCAGCCCAATTCAGAAGAAGCTCCAAATTTCTACACTGACTCACCTGATGTGAGTCTCTCACATGTCAGATAGAGTCACGGGCTCTTTAAGTTAGCAAGCAAAGGATGACTCTTCCAACCTTCCTAATCCTTCAGTTAAACATTGGCAATGTATGGAGCAACTGCTTTCACCTAGCTTTTAACTTCCTGCAGTGAGCTCTCCAGGGTCCTGGCCATGCTTTGTTGTTCTTAAAGCTTGTTGATGTCCTTTCTCTGTGAATACACTACCAGTCATTAGCTAGCTTCATCTGAGTGCTCGGTCAAGCTAGGACATAGTCCCACTAGTATGCGTTTTGGTAAATTTTTAATGTTGTAATCTCACCCACCATGGCAGTCTTTTTGAGGATAATCCTTATATGGTAGCCATTGCCATAGCATACTGTTAAAACTCCAAATGTAACCACCCACTCAAAAAAATTGTGGTAGACAGTCTCATAGAAATCTAATACATCATCTTTCTTATATCAAATAACCTAAATGAAGATATATTTTTACTCTGGTTTCCCATTCATTCTACAAATGAGACCCATACCTGTTTAGTTTCAGCTGGTTTAGTCTATTTATTCTAATTTATTCTGAGGCCTTAATTATATTCACCACCGACATTGAAATTAATTAATTAATTAATTAATTAATTAAATTTGATTTGTATGCTGCCCTATCTTCATAGGAGTTAGGGCGGCTCACAACAATTAAGAAATACAATCTCAATCCAAATAAAAACATATTAAAAATACATATTAAACGCATATTAAAACACATTAAAAATAATCAAAAGCCCATCAGTCCAGGCTGGGACTCATCATAATATTTAAATGCAGAAACAGTTCTTATTAATGCTACCGAGAAATCTATCATTGATTCCTATATGACCAACAATTTAAAAGATGACAAAAGTTTATGCAAGCTGTTACTCTTTACTAGAATATTGTTCACATGTATGCTGCTGTATTTATCTTAAAAACTGTCATTGGCTTAACTTGGGAACTAGATTTATAGAGCTTCAGAATCAATTGAATTTTAGCAAAACATTTTAGTGCCACAATTTAATAAAATTATACTGCAGTAGCCAAGAAGAAGAGCTGTTCTTCATAGCATCATAATATTTTATGCATAGATACAATTAAGATATTCTGAAAACCATTCTACTATATTAATTGGTGCTTTCTAATTTTGCAAGTGAATCAACTTGATTCATCAACATCTGTCAAACATTACTATACCTAGGAAGCTATCAAGGAATGGGCTTTTCAGATTTTTGTTTGTTTAAAATAGGTTTCTGATTAACCTTGGGTAGTTCATCCCCACTAGATGCCTTTGTTTACAGCACGGGTGTCAAACTCGATCCTGTCACGTGACATATGACATATTGTGACATTTTTTGCCTTCGCGGAACTGGGGTGGGTGTGACCTGTGTGTGACGCATCTGGGCCGTGGGCTGCCAGTTTGACATCCCTGGTTTACAACATTCAATGTTGTGAGTGATATTCAGTGAGAGAAATATTTTCCCTCAGTTTGTTTTCAGTGTTTACTCAGACCATGTATACTATGTTCTCCAAGAGTATCATTTTTCTTTTTTAAAAAATATTTTATATACCAAATTATTATTATTAAAAACTATCAATACTTGCTGTTTGCTTCCTCTTCTTCCTACTGTAGAAACAATACTTTGGATATTAGGGATGAGGGTAAGAAATCCATTTTACCATGAGTTGTGTAGTTGATAAGGGATATAGTTGGGTCAGAATCTGGAATTAACTTTTCTAGTTGTTAATAATGCCCAAGGCACAAATCTCTTTCCTAAAGGAAAAAAACATAGAAAATCAGATTTAGTTGACTTGTCTTGTTAACATTCTAGTTTTTATCCTTTCTCAGTGTTGTTATTAATAGAATCCACATTAGGCCTTTAACTTCCCTGAGAATCTTGTATCTTCTGAGTTTTCTTTTCCTAATGAAGTCTGAGTGGCAGAGCTTCCAAATAACAATTCTTTAGATAAAAAATAAATGACATAATCATTATCCCCCAGTTCAAAAAGTTTAGGCTCTTCACAGATAAAAATGTTCTTCAGTGTGTTGCAGGTGCTATGTATATTACCGGATTTGCTGAATCAATCTCTGACCTCCTGAACTTCACTAACATTTGGGCAATCAGAGGCATCTCTCTTGTAGTTCTGCTGGCCTTGCTTGGAATTAACCTGGCTGGGGTGAAATGGATAATACGACTTCAGCTGCTACTTCTCTTTCTACTGGCTGTTTCCACACTGGATTTTGTCATTGGATCTTTCACACACCTCAGTCCAGGTAACTTTTTCTGACTCTTCCAAATCAAGAGAACCATCTTAATGGATGAATGAGATAAGTTTTTATGTATTTATATGTTGATTAAATATGCTAATATGAAAAAGTATTTCTAAAGCCACGGTCTTTCTTTATGTTTACATGAGGTATATCTTTTTTATGGTCTCCCTCCCTCCCTCCCTCCCATCTCTCTCCCTCCCTCTGTCCCTCCCTCCCTCCCCACATAAAGGAACACCTTTACAATAGATGTTTTTCCTATGCATTAGCTACATATGTTTATTATTTATTAGGTAATAATAAATAGTTTATTAGGTAAATATATTTACCATCTTCAGTTTTTTTAAAAAATAAGAACTGATTGAAAGTGATTTTTAAAATGTGCTGGGCAATTAATATTTTGTAATCTTTAAAGTATTTTACAATTCAATCTGATGTATTACTATATAGAAAGAAACCGCAATGAATTCACTTGAATTGAAGTGGCTATGCAATTGAGCAATGGAAGAAAATAACCAGTTGAAGACTACCCCCCCCCCCAGCAATTTTGGATGAAATTATTATATCTAAATACTCATAGTAAATTATTATGAGTTTCATTGGATGCTTGAGAAATTTAAAGCTGAACAAAATTATAAAACAGAATGACTCAGAAGGTTATTTAAACAGATACACCCATCTACAGCTGTTTTAGCCTAATGAAACTCAGGGCTGGCTCTATCCAGACACTTCATCTGGTCAACCTATTAACTGCTTCTTTTATAGAATACCTGCTGCATATTGCAACCTGTCTTCTTGGCTCTATTTTTCCCCCAAAAATCACTTCCCAATTATTTTTTTTCCATAGCCTTTCCAAGCATTGTTGAGCACTGTATGTTTCAGAATCATAGCATTATAAATTCCATGTATGAAAAACTAAAGGAAGCTGCACAGTACTTTTGTTGGCTGGGAATATGAAGCTGAGCAGTTTTGCATAAGAAAAATAAGGTAGACAGGGTAAATGTGATTGATAAGATCAAGTCCAAAAGTATTGGAGAAGGATATGTGGCTTCTAAAAGATCACAGAATAGTAATTGATTGCAAACTGAATGTGAGGTAGCATTATGCAACTGTGAAGAATGGAAATATAATTTGGAAATGCATCAACTGAAGTATAGATAGTTCTCGCTTAATGATGGTAATTGGGCCAACACATGTTTTCAGTTCATAAACACAACATTTAAAAGAGACAATAAAAAGACTAAAAAGGAAACAAAATGACCTGAACACATGCTCTCCAGCATCCTATGCCCGGATAAACAGGGATTAACACCAGACAAATAATCGAGCAGAAAACAATACTCTAATCAAGGAACTACTTTCTTGAGAAACCACACTTGAGAAACCACACTTTCAACAACGCTGCCATATATAGACAGCAAGCAAATCTCACACTCATTGATGATGTTACCTGGTCAGATAGTGAAACATCTGCAAGCAATCAACCAAGTTCACAGGGCGCCAAGGACTCTAAAGTTCAACCCTGAGTACACTTATTATCATGTATTGGAACGTTAAATATATCATTGTTGATGCAATATACCAGATCTAGACTGATATTGTTTCTAGACTCAACTTGGGCTTCTTCTGGGAATTAGCATTTGACTTAGTAGAGCCAAAGCTGGCTATTCCTCACTATACAAAAAGCAGAGCAATGTTTTTCAGCCTTTAGTTAAGCTGATGCAAATGAGGTTATCATCCATGACAGTGTTTACCAACTTGAAAATCTGCTCTCCGGATTCAGAGAACTTTTCCCTAGGTAAATCCCCAACAATAGGATTTAATCCTCAGTAAATGTATATAGGCCATGAAAGACAGTGAGTGCTTTTAGGATCAGATTCACTACTACAAATGTGTTTATACTTATGTGACAATTTATTATGTATTCTAATCATACCAGTTCCATTTATGCAATTGGAATTTATTTCTTTTATCATAGTCAAGCAAAGTGAAGGGGGAATATTTGTATATTTAAAAGGGCATATTCTGTAAAACATATTACAAATATACATACAGTTTTTAGTTACTAAATTCAAACATGTAAAAGTAAATGTAGTTACACAACTAAACAGAAGGTGTCACTTTATCTTCAGCTTTTTTGTTAAGATTTTCTTTCTTTCTTGGCTTTGCGTTCATGTAATATCTACACTGATATAAAAATCTAAAAACTAGGACAGGAAGATGAGTCACCTGCAAATATTCTAATCTCTTTATCTGGAGAGAATTTTTAACAATGCATATGTTGTGATTCAACTCAGGAGAAAATCTCAATGGCATCGTAGCCTGGAACACATAGTTTAGAATTACCTAACACTTGTTTACAGTTTGTAAAAGGCAGCTGAGGTTTTTGCTTCCTTAGGTAGTAACCTTAAGCATTTTTAATGAATAAGACCCACTGAGCACAGTTAGACTTATTTTTGGATAAATAAAGATTATGTTCTCCTGTGAGAGAATAATTGAAGTCTCTTTGCCAATGTAAGGTCACTTAATATTGACTAGATATCCCCTAAGATCATTTATTACTCAATTTACAGAATTTAAACTCTGAATACATATCTGCAACCAATTTTCACCCTTAGAACTTTTGAAAGTAGTGCTGAGACCAAAATACCACAGCGTGTTCCCACAGGATCCATTTTCTTCTTGCTTGCTTGCTTACTTTTTGTCTTCCTGATAAATACATTTGGTTATTTCTTGTGCATCTCAGATTGTAGTTAGATAAGTCTTGATTATCATTATGTTCTGTACAGCATTTAGTCCTAAATGGTAGATTACAGGAAGGATGCCCAGAGGATTGCACCAAGTTCTTTTAAGATGGTTCAGAACCTCTCCAGTAGGTATGATGTATCTGGAATGTCATAGAGAAGACTTCCAAGTTCAGGGAATTCAGTTTCATTTGGCTGAAGAATTGAAAAATGAAAAAGAGCTGATTTCTTCTACTGTTGCAACTATTACTGCTATCATTTGGCTATGATAGTTAAAAGCATTCTCTTTAAAAAAATAATTCTGAGAAGCATCCTTAAACCAGAAACTAAGAATGCCACATGCATTGTAAATTGAAACTAATCCAAAGAATAAGTAAGTAATACAAATAGAAAAAATCAAGAACATCCTTATGCAACGTTTACATTTTTGAAAACTGGCAATGTAGCACCACCAAAAGTGACAGTCTCTGTGATAAAGATTTCTAGTGTGTTAAGCCACTGTTAACAAGAAGATGCTTATGATGCTTTTCACATAATTTCATGGACTAAATAGCCCTTTAATTTGCCTTTGATCAGGATGTAGGCAGTGTTTCGTTGACTGTCTAATATTTCATTTTTAAAAAACATGAGATTCTTTTGTAATTCACAGATCCTTTCTTTCTTCCCATTCAAAATATTCTTTCTCTACTGTTCCTAAACTATGATTTGGGAAGCCCTGAAATACCACAAACATCCTCTATGTGGTACCTAGGTATTGATTTTTAGATATCTCACATAAATGCTCTTCATGGGTATTTGAAACATTCTTAAGAAATTGGAGTTACATGCATATTTATGAAAGGGTAACCTTACTTTTTGTGTCTCTGTCATATGAATTTCAAAGGTATTAAACGTATATAGACTTTTTTAAAAATAAAGATCTTGATCCCTTTTACAAATGTGCAAGAAATGTTTAAAAGATCAGAAGCCAATGCAAGAGAAAAGTTTGTGATATACAGTTTGAGTGACTGCTATAACGCAATAAAATTTTGTCCTCTCTCCCCATGTTATTTTTGGCTTTAATTCTTTGCAGTAGTTTTCTATTTTTGTTTCTAAGAAGGAAAATGTCTTCTAAGAACCTTGAAGATGTAATTAGGTATATTATATATGAATGTAATTGATCAATAATGTTTCCTTTAAAAAAAACAGTGCATTGTGGCTTATGTGGTAATACTAATAAAAAGTATTAAGAGAGGAAGATGAGTGGTTAAGAAGAAATAAATTGCTCTTTAGTGCTCTTTCTAAAGTGTTCTTTAGAAAGATAAAACCCTCTGTAGCTGTAACTGATAATCAAGTTATATCTGAGGCACAAAGAAATATGGTAGATTAAAATTATTCATCCTAAAACAACCATGTTGTAGTATTAGAGTTTTCCCCCCTTTAATCTTCATAGCTAAAAAAGCACACAAACTTGTACACATCCTCGTTATAGAACTCAAATGAAGTTCGCTACGTGATTAGGCTTGGGTGGAGTTTCCTAGCTGTATCACTCCCATTTCCCCAAACAGAACACACACACACAGACACACACACATCAGTATTATCCCAGATTCAGTCACTTCCTTCCCTTTGCTATTTTATTTTTAGAAGTTGAAGTCAAGCACATATTTTTCATTGTAGGATTATTCTCTGATGTGGTTTCCCTGTCTCCCTATAAAAGTTCCTCAGTCTCAAAACTTTGTAGCTTTAGAGATCTAGAATTAAAGGATTCTCATCGCAAGCTAGAGTAAATACAGATCTCCACACAGCTATCTTCTTGGTCCATTTCAAAACAAAATCTATGCAGGGTTGGCTTTAATTTTCATTTAGGGTAATAGGTGAACCCAATAGTTGTGGTTTGTAAGCCATGATTTACTGTTTAGTAATAGGTATGACTCAGACTGCTGTAGGTTGAAACTATGGCATGGCTATTCCATAGAATATATAGGAAGGAATCAGGGTCATATCTTGGGATATGTACATTTTTCTATATACTGTGTGCGAAAAGATCTTCCAGATCTTGTTGGATAACATTTTGCAGGAGGAAGACTTTGTGTCCCAAGCTTTAAATGTTAACATCTTTCACTCATTGCTACTTCTTCTTTTAGTGAGTTCGGGATTGGAGGAACATAAGAACACAAGTCCACCCTGATCATAACCCTGATTGAGTGGTAAATCAATCCTTAGACGACAGTTCTTTATTATTTTCCTGCACGCTATTTTGAACGTTTATACATAATACAT